TATTTTACTGCGAAGCTGATTGAAAAAGAGTAACTTGCTCGTTTCTTGCTCGAAGAGTTTCTTGCTCGTTCTTCTCCATAGGAATCTACACTTTGGAACGAGCGAATAGCTTCACTAGAGGACTGACCGACAGATGGACATTTTTTAAAAATATACTTGTATATTTTGTTTTGACGTTCAGAAGTCCCTTCCTGGTCTAAATGAAATAAATGATTTTGACTTTGATTTGAAATCACATGATTAAGTCTATCAGGGAAAATACCTTTACCTAAAAGTAAAAGATTAAGAGTATTCATCAACTTTGTGTAGAATTTTGTATTGATTTTTTATAATTTATAGTCAAACTACTCCATTGTATCGTACTTTTCCTTTATTTTATTCCAATCTTAAAGATTTCGAATACCTAATTGGAAACAGACAATAGGGATGATGACAATTAAAAATATATTTAGCCCATCAGTTCAGGTAATGAAAAAATATTTGACACTTTTTTATTTTGTCATATTAGAAAACAATGTTTAGATAAATTTAAATAAAACGAATCAAAGTTTAGAAATGGCTATAAAAGACGTCATTTCTACGTATAAAACGTACTTAGAAGTGACGACACGCGATATTTCAAATCAATATTTCGTTGAAAGTATATCTATGCTTCTGTAAAACAATAAAAATACGTGTCTAATGTTTTAAAATAATCTACCAAACGAACATTTAAAATAAAGTTTAAAAATCGACACCTTTTTATTTGTTACTACACAAGGTGAGCAAGAACCGAGGTGCTACAGGAATAAGTGCTTCGGTCTTACAAAGTCGTTAGGATTGTCACCGCTCAGTACGCTGCAGAGGTAAGCACCCTCAAATCTGTGCTAGGAAACCTGTTCCTAACAACTTCGCTCGGTCTATATAATAGTTGTATACTTTCTATGTATGTATATGCTTGCGTTGTGTGAGTGACTGCACTTGTAGCGCCTCTGGTGCTTCGGGTATAGATCTATGGGCGGTGTCGATTGCTTATCGTTAGGTGATTCGTCTGCTCGTTTACCGAGTTATGCTATAAATTATCTTATACTTCTATTTACTCTTATATACAGCGAAAGAGTTTGTTTTTTTGTTTATTCGTTTGAACGCGCTAACCTCCGTAACTACAAGTCTGATTTGAGTAATTATTTTTGTGTTGGATAGCGCATTTATCGTGGATGGTTATTGGCTCGCTGGCTAAAAAACCACGCTACGACCAATAGAAGCTGAGCAGAGCGTGTGAAACCGCGCGGAAGTAGCTAGTTTTATATAGAGTTATATAGATATAAAGCTGAAAAATGTTTATTTGTACGTTTATTTGTGTTTGTTTGAACGCGCTTGTCCAAAACTACTGGTTTAATTTTAACATATATTTTTGTGTAAGATAGTTTATTTAAGAATATCATAGTAGATATTAAACCTTGATAGCAGCTGCTGAAACCGCGCGAAAGTACGAGTCAATAAGAAAATACATGGAAAAAATACTAAGGATATATAATACTTTGTATTTCCTCTGTCTTATAAAAATATAATAACTGTATTACGCATTGCATATATGTATTTTGTATTTTCATACTGTCGATATTGACTTAATAAATTATATAATATTGGTACTGTATATTTTGTTCCGCTAAGAAAACAAACTTCGAAGTTATTGAGGTATTTATTTGGTTTAATAATAATATTTCGCGTATTAAAATGTAGCTTGATATTGAATACGGTTATTAAATCTACAGCAATAACGAAGGAAAGTGTTAAGAATAAAGTATTCGATTTAAAAGAAATAATTATTATATTTACAAGTAAGTAATAACTAACTAACTAAAAAGGCTACTTCAGTGTTAATCTTCTCTGTCTGTACCTTGTCAAACCAGTATCTTTAGCCAAACGCCACTTTAGCGCTTGTCTACAGAGAGAGTAGAAAACTAAATATATGGGGATGACACTGACAAGTGTCAAAATTTACTTTTCTATTCTACAGGTAGACAAGCGCTAAATGGCATTAGGCTAGAGCTGCAGGAACCTTAATGGAAAAACATCGTTCGCATTTTTGTAGGTAGCAAAACATTTTTGTTTCTACTCTTGTCACGTATCACGCAATTTCATCAGAACACGGTCCTTTAATTTGGTTTATTCCGAAAAAGTGTCGCAACAAATCTAATAAATCAAATAATGATGTATGGACAGACATTATACCGGGGACAATATTACACGGCACTCCAAAGGTTCAAGGCTATGTTTGAATATGAACCTTATTTCAACGTATTTAGAATTGCTAGTCATTATCTACGTCTGTCTGACAGCTAAAAAGGACAACTGTCCCCTCCTCACATGGAGAAGCAATGAGCATTCACACCAAGTTGGTTTAAGAAAGATTAGCGATTTTAAACTTATATGAAATTTACGTCCAGGTTTCCTAAAGATTATCATCATCATCAACAGCCTTTAAGTGCTGCTGAGCAAAGCCTCTTCTCACACAGAGAACGTTTGAGCATTAATCACCACGCTTGCTCAATGCGAGTTGGCGATTATAAACTTATAATTAGAAATTATAAGCTTAGAAATTATAAGCCCAGGTTTCCTCACGATGTTTTCCTTCACGGTATTTCAGGTGTAAGAAAAATATATAACTTGGATAACGTCTCTCGTTTATGTTAAAAGAAACCCCGCGACGATAAAATTATTAATACGTTTCATAAAAATATTTCGACGGTTACAAATTTGATCAATTACTGAATAATTAACTCGAAGTTGAGTTGTCAAGTTTAGGAAGTCAAGTGGTTAGGAACCTTGTGGAGGCCATGCTTTATGTGTAAGAACCGATATAATTAACTTTAAAGTAGTATAATAGATGGAAACAACAGAAGCATTGCAAGTGTGGTTATATGTGCGTTGCCGGTCTTTTGGGGATTAAGAATTTGAAGATTGTTGGGGATTCAGCGATTGAGGAGGGGTGGTATTTGGGCTGTAACTTCACTCCCGGCGAAACACAATGCAAGCGTTGTTTCACGACGGTTTTCTGTGAGGCCGTGACATCACCCCGGCCTAATTGTCCCATTCTTGCTAAAGCATGGTCCCTCAGTTAAACATACGCAAAGATATTCATAAACGACATAACACAGTTACTAATACCAACACGATTATGTATATGCATCAGAGTAAAAGGTAATTTCATTTTAATATTTTTAATTTTTCATTTTTTTAAAAACGTTGCCCCACACTAGGATTTTCTCCTGTGTCGTGGGTGCGTTTACAAACATACAAGTTCACATACACATGACACCCAGACCCGGAACAACAATTTGTGGATCACACAAAGTGTTGTTCCGTGCGGGAATCGAACCCGCGACACGTTGCACGGCAGCCGGTTGCCCAGCCACCGCACCGACCGTGCAGTCATAATCTTGTTATGTTCTAAACAAAAGTTATGTATTAGTTAAATTTTGCGAAATTTCTAGAAGATTAAACAATATTTCAATCAACAACTTACCTGTTTGTTTGATAAACTTGTTCAAGGACCTTTATCATAAACATAAACATCACTCCTAGCTTTTCTCTAAGGAGTAGGCTTCAGAATCCTCAACGGCTATAGTTTATAGGAAATTATGTACCTATATATATGTATGTACATAACATAAGGGTACTGTTATATATACTGCTATTAGAGTGTATCCACACCACGCGAATCGACAGGCATTCCATTTTTGAACATTTTTAAGCAAGCTCAGTAGAATGCCGTTTGGCATGCTATTTAAGGTTGCGTCCATATCTGGCCAATGCGTCACGAATGTGACGCTCGTGAACCGTTTGCGGGCTGTCCGCGAGCTGGGCGCTTGCAGTCACGGGAATGTTCCGTGCTCAACTCATACAAGGTTCGTATAAATAATAATTTTACAAGCACGCGCTTAGGTCACATGCGGCTCGAGAGCCGCGCATTTGCTAGATGTGGACGCAACCTTAAATAGCATGCTACAGGGCGTTCTAATGAGTACTTAAAAGTGTTCAAAAATCGAACGCTTGTCGATTCGCCAATAGGCATGATGTGAGCATGATAATTTTGGGCAACATTCCGACACACGTGCTAATACTATCGTGCATAAGTTTATACGCATATGTACAGTCACGACATTTAGCAAGTAAGAAAATAAACATTGTCTTAGTACTATCACAGTAGCTGTATAGTTTTAAGCTAAGCCTCATATCTTCTATAACTATTATATGTATTTGTACTGGATCGATTTTTATTATCGTACCTGCATACTAAATAGCTGTGATAACTGTATGTCCACTCACCTTGATTGGTGGTTTAAAATAAAATACTCCATATCATACACTGTATGTTATAGTATAAATAGAATATTAAATGACGTTTTAAGAAATAAAAGTAATGTCGTGATGTTCCTCAATTCTCTTTGGAAGGTATTTAACATTAACTTTACATCGGAAGTCCCTAAAAAGGAGTCGATTTAACAACATCAACGATTGTACGTTAATATTTACGTTTATTTACATTTTCTTTGATTTAGCCTCAACAAGAAATCAGTTACTTTATGGTTCTTTCAAATACAAGCTATTTCACAAACATGAACGTGAAAACTAATTTGTATAATATTTAAAGTAATGGAAAAATTACTTAATGAATCAAAATACATTTGGCTACTCCGTGCTACGCTACTACGCCGTAACACTGACTGCTACGCCGTAGCACTGACGGTGCTAGAATATCCTATAGCGCTAAAAAACAATTATAGTACACCATACTATTAAAAATTAAGTGTTATAAATTAAAGATTCCTTATTAATATATTCATAAATACTATGTTTAGTATGTATTTACCAAACCACACTGTCATTTTCCAGCCATTGTAGTTCTTATTTTAATATGACGCAAGCTTCAAAATTAAATGCAAGGTAATTCGCACTGCACGAAATAATTCTTTCGCTAACAGTCACAGTGGAGGAAAACAAAAAAAGGTACTCACCGAAAGAGTAATTATCTTGTCGAACAGCATGATAGGCGGCATGTGAAAGTCGAAGACGAAGTACTGTGGACAAAAAGAAAGGAGTTCAATGTTATAGGTAGATTTTATACAATAAAACATTCATATTTCATTTAAAACTATGTATGTATTATGTATTTGAATCCTATCTTCAGAAAATTTGTGTATCAACAACAATGTTATATAGAGGAAAACGGTGATTGCTTGAGAGGTAGTGTTTAATTTTTTCTCATCATTTGATAGATTTTTATTCATAACATAACATAACATCATGCCTTTTTATCCCCGAAGGGATAGAAGTGCACATTACGGCTCTTAGTGCCATTGTACAATGTAACACCCACACTAACAATTTATTCTACTCTCCCATCGCTACATGGCTTAACAACAACCGAACAAACTCTCAATATTTCAGTTGGTTTACAAAATATACTATATCGGTTTATGCTAATATATTTGTATTGCTTTAATCCGAAACGTGCCGAGTTCTCACCATGACGTTCAGATTACAATCTTAAATATGAGACATAAATGTGCTTATGGAAGGTCAACAAAGACGGTCTAGTACGATCCAAGTTGATCCAAGTATAGTCACGATTTACATTATTCATAGACTACAGGCTAGAGTAGATAATCCATTGAAATTATTGTGTATATACTTGTGGTTACTGAAAGATGAAACAGTATACAATAATATAGAAATGTATAGATGTATAGAAGATGATTCAGTACCGATTTTTAAAGTTATGAACGGACTGGTAAATCTTTACTTTATATGGAATAAGCCGGTGAACGAACAGACGGATCACCTGATGGTAAGCAATCCATCTTCCAGATACTCTCCCAGAAACGTTACAAGTGCGTTGCCGGCCATTTGGGAGTTAGAAACTTGACGAATGTGGGGGTTTCACGGATTGGGAAGACTGGAGAGGGGGCCTCCAGGTACACCACTCACACGGCGAAACGAGTCGGTTTTATTGACCATAAGCGACTCAGAGATTCAAGTGGATTTTACGAAATAATATTCATCCATCTGAAGGGTATATATGACTGCCTCGTTAGCCGAGTGGTCGCAAGTGCGACTGCCGGTCAAGGGGTCTCGGGTTCGATTCCCGGGTCGGGCAAAGTACTACTGGGTTTTTATAAATTCTCAATAGTAGCACGAAGTCTGGAATTGTGCCCGGTATATGGCAAAAGGCTCACTCCTATTACATGGGACTCATAACATTTGTTAGAAATAGTGAAAAGTGGGTATTACATTGTACAGTGGCATAATGTACACCTCTGCCTACCCCTTCGGGGATAAAAGGCGTGATGTTATGTTATGTTATGTTATGAAGGGTATATATACCACAGAGCATGGATCAAACCGAACAGGGCTATGAGGAAATTAATTTTGTAACTTTTATACTTTTGAGGATTCTGGTGTCATTCTGAACAGTTCAAAATTTGTAACTAATTTTTGTTTCATATACTTTCAGGTACACCATATTCATCGAACAATGTTATTGTTTTCTTTACTCATACTTCTATATCATATCATATACATCTTTTGAGTTATATTTACATAACATATAGAGTGTTATGTTAAAATAGTAGAATGTTATGTTTCTATTTCATCGAATTTGCGTAGCGTTTTGTCCTTATATACTGCTTATTGTGTTTTCTACTACTAACAACTTCATAAGTCTCTTTAACATTTCATAATTATAAGCATCTACGATCGGTCAACAACTGACTAAAAATTCAAATTGCCATCATAATTATTGTTGTATGTATACATTACATACAAGGCCAGCTAATTCAATTGATTATATAATTATACAGGTGCATTACACTCCATTAATTTACTCCAACTGCATGTTAACGTGACCTTTTATAAAAACCAATGACAAATCAATCAAAAGTGTATACAAAGTTTTTGTCATAAGTGAACCTTACCTCATTGTAATATGGGCAGTTCGTGCTTTCTTTCACGCTGGTGTATTTTCGTACGTCGCCTATTTGTACACAGACTACGGGGTCCATGTTGAGGCCGGCGAGCTGACGAGCCTCGATCACTGTCACGCAGACTTGGAAATCTGCTGCCTTCAGCGCTGATGGTACGCCAGTGTCCATTACAGTGCGCCTAAGAATAAACTTAGCTTATGAGTCTGCGGGAATGTTAGAAAATTGATACTCTTTCAGCTGTCAGCTGCTCATGATATTGAACTTGATACGAGCTATCCAATTACAAACGATGTTAGGTTAGGGAACCATCAATTACTTTTGACAATAAAACTTAGGAAATACATTTTGGCACACAATTTCATGAGACGATCAGAAAATTGATCAGAACTAACACCAATAATTTGTTATACTTACATCCTTTTGAATTTGCGCGTTTCGCTCGGTGAATGTACATCAACAAGCATTTCATCAGATGAGACTGATATCTGGCTTATTGGACGGTCGGGTTCTGATGAAGGTCCTGGTGTCTCTAGAAGGCCTTGTTCCTCATCGCTGCTGCAGCGGGAAGGGCGGATCTTGCCGAGGCGCATCAATGTCCTCACGGTTTTCAATGTTGATGGGCGCGATTTGCGCTCAGGCATTTCTATCACCACTTTTTCGCTGCCCAGAGTGAATCCGCGCCTGGGAAATGAATCATTAATCAATATTTTGACCTAGGTATTTAGAGTACATAATAAGGAAATTTATAATTCATCAGTCTATTCCTATAGCTTTCGTATGAATAATTCTGTATGAGAGGATTCCAGTTCCAGCCATTCTTCGATGTAACACTTTGAAACAGAGTGCACCTGTGAAATATTCATAGGGCAGGGTAGTCATATGACACGTCGAAATACAATTATCGCTGTACAAATTCGGTGGCAAAAAATAAACTCTTATAGAAAGCACTATCATAAATAGAAAGCACGTGACTTTGAAACTTCATTACACAGCGGCGCCCAGCATCACAAATATTTTTTGGCAGTTAAATATTCTGAGGGCGTTCGTCCATGAATTTTGTACAAAGATATTTACACAAATGAACTGGGTTTGCGGTTTGCGGCCGCAGATTGCGCTATTCTTTAGTAATCAAATGTTTGTTTTGTTTTGAATACGTTGATAGGAACAATGCCGTCACCCGCCCGACTTCCCGTATTCATGAACTATTCACGGCAGATCGTGTGTCGGGCAACGTGCTATAATGATATAATGGCGACTACAGTGCTGTGACGCTGTGTCATGACAGCTTGGTAATTGATCATTTAAAAATAATGAAATGTGGTTTAGCTGGCTATTGATTAACTATTCTAGTGTATTTTTAATAAGTGTCGACTATTTGGCACATTAATGTAATATAACGTAAAAATGGTTTGCAAAGAGTGTGATCTGAGTCAGTGACAATACATGTTCTTATCTATGTAGGAGTCAAATAACATTTTATCATTATAAACTTTTCTTCTCCCTGATCACTACAAACAGTTCAAAAAACAAAACAAATATCGAACAAATAGATAAGTAAGGAGACTATCAAAGGGTTCTGTTATCCCTTTCACCTTCGAAGAAATATAAAATTCTATTATAGTTGTATGACGCATTGCAAAGGATTCTAAGGAAAAATATTTCAAGGACGACTTGTGGAAAGGTTACACCGGTACTGCAGAACCAGAAAGCACTTCTACATTTCCCACAATAAAACCGATATAGAAGTGCACTGCATAAGAGTAACGGAAGCTTTCGCATCTCCTTTCTTCACAATGAATAATGTCTTACAAAGAAACTCAGGCCTTACAAAAAGCTTGTCTGTTTATATTGAGTAAGTACAATATCTTCACAAATATTGTGTTGTTAGAAAATTAAATAATTGCATCAACCAACTCGATGTTCGTCAGAAATAACAACGAGTATAAATGATGTATGTAGAGGTATGTACGAGTATGCTGATTTTTCGATCATTACACTTTTTTATTTGTACCATAAGATTGATTTCCTACGTTTTTTGGTATGGTGGGGTTGACAGATTTTTTAAAACTAACTCCTTCGTTAAAATTATATGGCATTAGAGAAATTAGCCCTAAATGAAAAAAAAAAATATATAATCTTTAATTTTCAACTACATAAACGCTATCAATATTTTTGTAGCGATGACGTCATAACCGTCCATCACACTAATATTATAAATGTGAACCTTTCTTTGTTTAGATGTTTTTCCGTCAATCACGCTGAAACTACTGAATGGATTTTGATGAATTTGGTATACAGTCGGGGTACGGGCTTTCTTAAATGATAGGATAGTTTTTATCTCGATTAAATGCTCACATGAGATAAAACAGGAATACAGTGAAACTAAACTTGTTGATTACAAAATACTTTTTAACTACGAATTCAAATAGAATTTTGTATTCATATAGTACAATAGTATAGTATTATAGGTTTCCTCCAAAAAAGATCATATCGGTAGATACTCTGCAAGGTGAAACAAAAGTTTTAGCTGTGGTGCAAACTAAAATGGTAGACAATTTTATTCACCTATCATTCGACTTTCTAACTACTAACTTTCATGCAGTTATTTTATGATTCCCTAAATCGATTTTCTATGAAAGAAAAACATGACGATGTCTATGTTGCAATGTCTCATGTTTTATAATAATCTGCCAGACGAACATTGAAATGAAAATTACCTATTTGTCCTATATTCCGAACTACATACTTAACGCAGTCAAGTATGGACTCGTATGATTTGTATCGACGTATGATTTGGTGCTAGATGATAACCACTTACCATAATTTGATGATGGAGACTGATGATGGCCATAACAACTCAGTAAACAAACAACATAACTTCATTGAGTACTGGCTCGTACTAAAATAAAATTAACAAAACAAAATCCATTTAAATCAGGCTTTCATTTTCTGTTAATAAACAATAACTAGAAACTAAAATAAATTTACACCTGATATTGTGATTGCTATAGACAAACAATGAATGTGCGATAATGTAAAATGTAACATACTTTTTTATTTAAGATTACACTAAGTAGTAAAAAGTTAAAACCTATTTTAAAAAAGGATTCGTTTTTATTACTCACGGATTGTTCACTTTATATTTCACTTGTAAGTTTAATTTATTGTACCTAACTAATTATTGTCAAGTTCTTATAAGTGTACGAAGTTTCAATGAAAACTGTCCAACTGTCAATGGGGTGAAAATCGAGTCTAAAAGAGTCGATGACCCATAAATACAACAAACAAAGAAGCCAGCCAACATACATGACACTAATAAGAAGAAGTACCTATTTTACTTACTTGAGAAACCGCTTTCCTGCAGTCTTCAACTTCTGAGTGCGAGATTCCTCTAAGCAGTCCATATCAATAGTCACTTCCTTGTCACGAATGGATTGTTCAATGGACGCAATATTGCGTTCCACGTCGTCTAAGACGTTATCATCAGAATCCTTAGGAGAGGTTCCAGCTAAGGAACCACGGGACGAGCCCGGTGTCGAAGCATATCCAGAGGCATGAGCTCCATGAACTGGCACAACACCAGAAGGACCAGCGCCATGCACCATTGGTATGTTGCATGACGATCCCTTAAAGGGGCTCATTTCAGCTCTGAAGAATGGATCCCCACGCAGGGATCCAGTTGGAGGATTGTAGTATACATCCATGTCCACGAATACCTGGAAAGAAGAAGTTTATTAATAAAATTGCTATGGCAGAATAAACTACTTGGGGTTTTGCAACCGATCTATCTAGAGAATCGTGACACCGCGTAAGTGTTTGTGATGGTCACTCTAGTGATTCTAATGAGGTAGCCTTTTCATAAAAGAGTACTCTAGAGTAAAGAGATTGCCTAGTCTAGTAATCTGGTAGATTCCAGTATTGCATGGTAAATGATTTTTCACCTTTTGACCTTGGTATGACCTTAAGACTTTAAAAAATGAAAATTATGTTCTTTTATGAAGTATTTTGGAAAATATTAACACGTCAGTTACTAGCTTTACTCCAATAACTTTACTCGCTTTCACTGTTCTTAAAAAACGTTACAAATATTAGCAAAATCATTGGTTGAATCTTGACGACACTGCTAAATTTATTATCTGAACTATGTTACAGGGAAATAAATCGTTTTAACTTCAGGAACCTATCAACTCAAAAGGAAAATAATTTTACAACTACATCATTTCTTGTTGGAGTTAAATTTAAATTAATTATTGTAGTCAGAGATATTGTTCCGATTATATCACATACATAAGTCAATATCAAATCAATTACATAAGTAAAACAACTATAAGTCCATGGTAATATCCTTCTTTGTCCTTAAAAAATATTGAAAGGGGCCCAATATATTGTTAAATTATGTTTTGTTAAAAGAGAAGAGGATGAGAAACATGTTCAATATGTTATCATTATAAAAATACATAGGATCTTTAAAAGACAAGCTTCATTATAAAAATAGTTACGTCGGGTCCCTTCGATTTGTATTAAGAACATCGTGGTAAGCACATCAGTGCCTGGTTGCACCATATAAAATGCCAATTTATTACAGACTGCTAGAAAATAGAGCAATAAGATTACGTAACATATAAGGTCTCAGGACCGACAATATTGTGTGGAAGTTTCTTGGTAAACAAAACCCGTTTGTCATGTTTAAAGTCACTGAAAATTAGCGATCTTTTGATCGAAGGCAGTGTTAACGGTTAGAAAAACACCGATGTACAGGTTTAGTTTGCCCGTACACTACCGTTAGTTGGTTTCAGTTGGTTGAGTTGATTGTTGAGTGTGGTGATGAATGAATACTCTTCACTTGGTTATATAGAAGGTTTATTATCCACCAGTTACAGTTTTGTAATAGTTTTAATGATTCTCACAGATACGCTTGTGTTGCGTTGGCAGTTGTACACACACTGAAGACAGTTTTAATAATTGTTACGAACTAAGTTAAACGACCGATATGCTTACTTAGCTTGATGTCGCGACACGAATGTACGTAAACCGTACATGTCCCTAACCCGAGAGAAAGAACAGGCTCAGCTATGAGAATCACCAGTACAAAAGTAAAAAATGGAACAAAAAATAGTTAAAGTATTAAAAGTATAAAACACCGTATAAAAAATATAAAAAGTATAAATGTAAACATAAAAACCGATAAAATCAGAAATGAAATTTCAATATCCTTCGATGGGACCTTGGTTTTCAACGCTGGCTTCGATAGTGGGCGCTCCATCATCGAACGCGATCTGAAGAACCTGCCGACCTTTGTTGATGGTCCGTAGGATTGACTTTCAAGATCTTTGCTCTTGTTCGTAATTTCCTTCTTAGGTGTCGTAGATTTCTTTTTGGTACAATAGCCACGTTTCTTGACTATCCATACGGCTATGCTGACGACCACTACCATCAGTAGCAAGTAGGTAATGGTATAATGATGGATGTCATGAGTAGAAAGTGACGCTGGAAGTTGTTCTTTGCGTTGTAAGTATCTTAACTGGTCTAGAACTATGGCAAAGCCTTCTTCATGATTCATCTTCAACATTGGCGTAGAATGTGGTTTTACTATGCCATTTATTGTTTCATCTAGTGACGGGATTTGTATGTTATAATTCAGCCTTGCGTTACTGTTGTAGTCATTGTGAGAATGAATTATCAGATCCTTGGTTTGCAGAAGACATCCTTGTTTCAGCGTCACAATGGATGACTCGCTGATGACGTGCGATTTGACGTCACCGTTGCATATAGTGCGCACCGTGTATGTGTCACAAGTGACGGCCAGCCATGTGTTTATGTTATGTAATTCGATCCAGGCAGTATCACATTCGGTGCTCCTTGAGTTGCATGGTGAGGTCGTTTGATGACCTAGGAGTTTAGCTTCACACGGTGCATTTGTGTTTTGTAGGTTGTAACAATTTACAACCTGCCAATGCAAGTTCAATATGCAGACGAAGTTATCTACACTGCGTTGTGTGCAGTGATTTAGTTCCTTATCATTTAGAGTGACGTAGGTATTTTTTGCAATATTAATTGCAATATATTGAGATGACACTACGACAACAGCCATTTCGTCAGGATTTTGTAGGTTCTTTAGAGGCAGAGGGAAGATTTGGTATACCTCAAAGTCTTCGTCACTTGCCAAAGGAATATGGAGTTCGTACATGAAATAACTGCAGGTTACTCTGGCTTTCACGTGAATTAATTTGTAGATGTCCTTAATGTCATCTTGAATGTTGTCTACGGGTAACGTTAGAGTTTTTGGCAACTTTCCTGATATACTATTCAACTGGTGGATTAAGTTTACTGGTGTGACTAAATGCACATCCATCTTTCCTTTATAAATATCGACAAATGTGTTAAAGAGTGTTTCTTGAATATTCTTCAAACTATTCAGTAGAAGATGAGCAGTGAGGGATGCTGAACTGAAGAAGCTGGTTGCCATGGCTGTCTCGAAATCTGATACGATCCTTACCACTTGTATATTAGTTTCATTCATGAAGTTGTTTATAAGAGTGAACTGCTGATTCAAGTTTTCTTCATTCCTTTTCAATATATCGTTGTCAATTTCAATAATGGAAGTTTGATTTTGAATGAGTTGTAAAAGATAGTCTTCATTTTTTTGAATAGCTTGAATATCCATATGATACTGGTCTGCAAACCTCTGATCTAGGACACCAAATAAACTGTTTGCTACGTATCCCACGCCGTCTATCAAACCACGTTTCTTTCGGCTAGAAAGTTGTTTGTGTGGCGCGAGTAATATGTTGTTATAATATTTAAGAAGTTCCATTTCGTGTGATAGCTGTTGAATAGTTGTTTTACAGTACTTGGGGTCCAAGCTTTTGCACAGGTTCATGACGTTTTCATAGTAATTTTCAAATTTTTGTACTCCGCTCCAATATGTTGATAAGTTATAATACATGAGCAGCCTCCATTCGTCGTGAATCAGCTGTAGTTTTCCGACCTTGTCGTAGTATATGGGGCGGTCAGTACCCAGGCTCGTGATTTGAGTGCTTGATGTTCCATTTGTAACGTTGCCACTTATTCCAACCACAATGGTTAGTAGTAGAAAAGTGGTAATCATCGTAAAAAATGTTTTCTTTCCGGTTCTGCGTGTTGTCTGTCTGGGTCTTGTTTCCGGTGTATAGGTGTTTTCGCAACAGTCGTGATTTGTGTTGATAGTAGCAGTTTCAATCGGTAACAACGATAATTTCGTAATGGGTCGTTTTAATGTGGTAGTTTGCGTTTTTATAGTTGCGACACGCACGTGACCGTCACTGCCAGGGTGAACTTCGATCACCCGGCCTAGCGCCCACTTTCCTGGTGGAAGATTGTTTTCCTTTATCAAGACGACGTCATCATTTTTAATGTTAGGAGTGGGTTTCAACCATTTGCTGCGTGCTTGTAGTGATGTTAAATAGTCAGCTGACCAGTGCTTCCAAAATTGATGGAACATATTTTCCGTCAATTGCCATCTTTTACGTAAATCTAAGTTTCGGTCATCCACATAACTTGATAGTGGCAGAGTTAAAGTAGGACTGCCGGTTAGGAAATGTCCCGGCGTCAGATAGTTATAAAACTCGTCTGGCTCCTCTGTGAGTGGACAAAGGGGCCGTGAGTTTAGACAGGCCTCCACCTTAGTTAGTAGCGATGAAAGCTCTTCAAATGTGAGTTTTTGTTCTCCTAGAACACGGCGTAGATAGAGCGGACTGCAGCTTCCCACAGTCCTCCGGCTGTAGGCCAAGCGGGCGCGTTGAAATGCCACTCTATTTTCATTCTGCTGAGTTCATCAAAAAAATCACAGGACAATTCGATTTTAAAAAGTTCGTACTCATTGTTTAGCATTTTTGAAGCTCCAATAAAGTTTGTGCCACAATCTGAATATATGTGGCTCGGTGTGCCACGTCTGGAACACATTCTTTGGAGCGCATTCAGAAACGTTTCCGTGCTCAAATCTGACACCAGTTCAATGTGAACGGCCTTTGTCGCTAAACATACGAAGATCGCAATATAACCTTTGGATGTTTTCACGCCCCTTCCTTTATTCAGTTTGATGTCTACGTGACCCGTGAAATCCACCCCCGTGTGAGTGAAGGGACGGGACGGTGTCACTCTTTGCTGTGGAAGATCGGCCATCAGCTGATAGTTCTCCTTGCTTCTAAATCGGTGACATCGTATGCACCGACGTAGTTGAGATTTTACTGCTCTATTTCCCCCTATTATCCAGTATTGTTGGTGGATGTAGGACAACGTCAGCCGAGCCCCACCATGTAAAGTTGCAAGATGGGCTTCATGTATTATTAGTTCAGTTAGTCTGCTATTTCTCGGTACAATAGCAGGATTTTTCATTCCAGCAGGTAAAGTACTTTTGTTAAGACGCCCACCTACGCGTATTATTCCCTTTTCATCCAGATAGGGGTTTAGTTTGCATATGTTACTTTTGAGATTTACACTCTCCTTTTTGCATAATAAATCATAATCTTTATTAAATGCTAATTGTTGAATAGTTCTTATTATGATATTATTTGCGTAATTAAGTTCGCTTGTTGTTAGGTAATTAAGTGGCACCAGGTGGTCGGTGTTGAATTTCATTATTGTTGTGGTGTTTCTAAGTGCATTTATCTTGAATCGCAAAATCCATGCGACGACTCTAATTACTCGTGTCAATGAGCTGCAATTGTTTAATAAGTTA